TAAGTATTTTTAGTGAAACATACACAACTAAACAATATATACGCGATACACGGTTGAAAAATTTGTATTAAATTTAACAGATATTACATGTCCCAAACAGTCCACACAAATTTTTTTGATAATTTAACATAATGTGGATATGTTAAATGGTGACACTAATACTATATTAATATTTCAACACAAAATATAAATGCAAATTTCATACTAATTTAAAATAAATTTTGTGTAAAATCAACATATTTTTAATGATAAAATTAACTTGGAAAAATGTTATTGACGGTCTGTAGTCACTCCTACTTCTATTGTAGAATAAAGTCAATATGTTTTTTTATAAATTTTGACAGATAAATCCTGTCACTAATAATACGGAACATATATATTATATAAAATTTAAAATATATGCACAAATGTTATGTTATGTTATGCCATGTTATGTTATGTTATGCCATGTTAAAGAAGGGTGTATTATTTTCTTCTTATCGTGGATTATCGTGGAAGCGCACGATATCGGGAAATGCCGTTTTATGTAACGACATCTAGTTGACGTAACATTTGATAGTCGAATCTGCGAAATAAATCCGATAACGCAATGCAAACAGAAGTGTAATTCAAGATATGCAGCTCTTCACAACAGGGTCCATTAAAGATCTTCTACTTACTGTCGTAAATTGAGCGCTTTCGCAATTTACCTTTCGGAGAAAGTCTTCGAATCGTCGTGTATTATGTTATGTTATGTTATGTTATGTTATGTTATGTTATGTTATGTTATGTTATGTTATGTTATGTTATGTTATGTTATGTTATGTTATGTTATGTTATGTTATGTTATGTTATGTTATGTTATGTTATGTTATGTTATGTTATGTTATGTTATGTTATGTTATGTTATGTTATGTTATGTTATGTTATGTTATGTTATGTTATGTTATGTTATGTTATGTTATGTTATGTTATGTTATGTTATGTTATGTTATGTTATGTTATGTTATGTTATGTTATGTTATGTTATGTTATGTTATGTTATGTTATGTTATGTTATGTTATGTTATGTTATGTTATGTTATGTTATGTTATGTTATGTTATGTTATGTTATGTTATGTTATGTTATGTCATGTCATGTTATGTTATGTCATGTCATGTCATGTCATGTTATGTTATGTTATGTCATGTCATGTCATGTCATGTCATGTCATGTTATGTTATGTTATGTTATGTTATGTTATGTTATGTTATCTTATGTTATGTTATGTTATGTTATTTTTACATTTTTTCAATTGTTTTAATCACTTAACATTTGAATTCAATTAACACCAGAGCAATATGTTAAATTAATATATGAATGGGTTAAATATTTAACACAAAAATTTTAACCGACATATTTTTTAACAAGAAGACACAAATTTTCCAACTGTGCACACGATGTATTTCTATTATGTCTTCGTCGTATAAGAATTAATAGAAAATTCTTTGAAACATCTAAAAGTTCACTTGAATAAAGCTGAAACATATTGTATGATGAATGTATACGTTACAAACAATGCGTGAATGATCTGCCCGACAAATGCAACGACTGTATGTGACGAGAAAAAATGACGCGACTGTATTCTTTATTGTGTGCGGTCGGTGTCGTAAATTTTCTTTGGTTTCACTCTCGCGCATATATAGACCCATTATGCGTATTCATTTCTCGGCTTTATTTCCTGAACTCGACTTACGTAATATTGCGTACGAGATTTCGTTCGAATAGACCGTAGTGTCGCATTACGCCGAGTCTGCCAACCGCAACTGTGCACGTTACATGCGATTTACCATTTAATTAGTCCCTTGAAAACGCAGACATTATTCACGATTCGCCACAAACTTACTCTGTTTCTAGATTATTATTATAGAGACAGAATAAATAAAAACCATAATGTACCGAGAATAATATTTTACGAGAAATGTTTAAACACCGATATATATTAACGTATGTCGGATGTAAAATATATTTTCATTCCACAAGAAAGAGAACCACAACTCTCTCTTCAAACGTTCCTTCAACTTGGGACACCGCTACAATCATACTTAATATTCGAGCAGCATTACAAAAGTACGCTTTTAACGGGTTACTTCCGGTTCTCGAGCCCTCGTGTATCGAGTTAAAAAAAAAACACAACCACATGTTACATAACCCGTCGAAAAAAAATCGTACATACGTGACAGACATAACTTGTCGACTGTTTCCATAATAATGAAAAATCGCGATAAAAACGTCAACTGTTCTGCTCATTGTCAGTTGCAATCTGCCGTTACGTCGCCTGTACACGGTAATGATTTCACTACAATGATATTATTGGGAACGTGAAAGTGGGGATTTTTTGTGTCATTAACGTTTGATATGACAATGAAATCAGACCAATAAAATTTTAGTCTAATCAAAAGTAATTTAAACAATAATCATTACAGTATATAAGAAAAAAACAAACATTGGACATTAGAAATTTATTTATTTATTTTTTTCTCGGTACTCTTTTACAATTCAATTTTAATAACTTGTCATTGAACAAAATTCATTAAAAGATTATAAAGATGTTACACAAAACGAGCGAACGACTTAATAATACCAATTTAGAACTTCCGTTGTTTTGAAAAAAATTATTTATTCGCAAGTTTGACATATACATTTCCTGCGAAATCAGTGGTTATTGTGTATGCGTGTGTGTGTGTGTATATATATATATATATAATGCGAACATTATAACAGAAATTATGAGTGTTTCGTATACATGTGCAATTTGACCTTGCAGTATCGCATCCTCTCCGTCGCTTTCAACAATGTATAAAACGTGTGACCACCTGTGTGTTGCGTTGCGTCCCCCTCGCATTCCATACATCGTAGATAAAGTGAGCGTTTGAAAGATTTTTACGCGACACGCGACGCAATTAGTAAAGGGAAGAAGGAAATATTCGTAATTCAATGTTTTTGACATTTAAAGGGCTCTTATTCTTTAGCAGTTACTTTAATCTGATTTATACATTCACATAATATTTTATATAGTAGAAACTTTATACTTATTAGCATTCTCTTCAGTTGTGCATTTGATATATTAGCGGTTCGATATTTGTAACCGGATTAATAGTAATAAAAAGATAAAAATAATGAAATAACAAATAAAAGAAAAATGTTTAAAAAATGCTTTTATGTTTTAAATAAAGTTATAAGAATTATTTACAATCTTTATTTATATAAAAAACTGTTGGCTTCGACGTCAACTAAAGCAATGTCTAATTTTATTCGATAAGAACTTCTCATATGTTAAAATTTGATAAGATGAAAGTAGAAGATCCGTATTCGTCCGATTTATTGTCTGAGGTAAAATGACGCAATAACCAAGTCAATAAAATTCCTGAAATTGCAGTGGAGTTTTGTCCTCGGAACTAGGCAGAATTCGTTTTAAGATCACATAAAATAGTAAAGTAGCTACAAATTAGCTATACGAGATCTTTTACTGTAAGATTATTTTTCTTAATAATTTATAGAAAAACACAGATAAATATGCGTTTTTTCATAATCAGTAATCAATAATATGTATTTTTCAAATAAAAAAGCAATAATTAGAAATATAAATTGCAAAGAGAGTTTATTAGGGGCCCTGATTAAAGCTCAGTGGTTAAGGCAGCCCTGAGCCCGGGCTGCATCGTAAAAGTAGAGCAGAGCATCGACTTGCTCGAGCAAAATGTATCTAGGAATACCAACGTTTTATGTTGATTTTCTGATATTAATAGTAATGAATAATGATGATGATGAATAATGTTAATATTCAATGACTGTTTTTTCTCAGTATATTCAATGGCAGTTTTTACTTAGTGTTTTTTACTCATTTTATATTCCAATGGCTCAAATACTTTCGACATATGCGTGACTTGGTATTTCTTTCGATTTCTCATAGTAAATGAAATTCGTTAAATGCGTCCATTATCGAATATCGTGCAAATATCTAATTTTCATATCTAGTTTTCATTAACAAAATCTGATTTATCTACCGTTTTATATTATTTCCTGGATCCTTTAATTAATGTATTATACTTTACGTTACTTCCTATCATTTTTTTTATCATGATATTATTTATACCAACAAAGCGAGTGCTAAAGTACCCGGGTTCTACACTGATGCTTTTCTAGATGAGCCAAAGTCCATATCTCCGATAATATTTAAACATATTGATATCGCTTTTCGAGACCAGACACTATATATGTTGTACTTTATTTCGACATAGCGCTGCTCTCGACTGTACGCAGACGAGAGTGATAAGGAGGAAAGTGAAAACTGGCGCGTACCTGCCGAAAGGACGATGATGTCGGCGCCGCGAAACAGCTGATCGACTTCGCTCGGTGGGTGTCGGCCTCGGCTAACCTCCTCCGGCACCCTGCTGCACTTTCTCACGCACTCGATGCACTCGCGAGGACCGATGGGAGATGTCTAAGGTTACGATTTCGACGCATACGCGATTGTTTCTGATTGGCTCGACGCCGATCGCGAATCTCGATCAATGTACGATTTTTCGCGATATTCGGTTGACAGGACGCGTATCTCGAAATTTACTCCAATTCACTTTATTGATGATGACATAGAATATTTGCACAATGTCGTGACGTAATCCTTGTCCCAGCTTTTCTTAACAATGACACGATATCCATGAACAATCTCTCGTTATTTCAACGACGAGACAAGTATTCGCGCGGCGTCAAAACGCAACATTATGATCGGCATGTTGCTGTAATAACAACACAAATATACGTGTAGCGTCGCGACGCAATACAGGACGCTGCTTCAATAACGACTACCTGTCAGCGGCGTCGCGACGTAATATTGCACCCGGCAGGTCCATTTTAACAAATGACGCGTGAGTTCGTGCGACGTCACTCGCGCCGCGAACTTGGCGACTATCGAGAAAGCTACGCGCGAACTCCAGAGTCGTTCGGCTTGATTCAGGCTACTCACGCGACATACTTGACGTCAGGCGCCGAACGGTCGTCCTAGGACTAGGGATCGAACGCGAAATCCTCGATGCCAGGACATCGGCCGCGCGTCATCGCCGTTACCAGCCGTTTGTATGTGTGTTCATGTTTCTCATATCCTGACGAAAGCGAGCAGAGACGCAATGTCGCTTGTTCGGATTCCGTTCGATTCCGACGCACTCGTGGCCGGAGACTCCCCCGGTGGCACCGTCGATTAATCGCACAGCGGAGAGTATAAGCTGCAGCCCCGCTCTATTTATCGTTCGCGCGACGAACGGACGGAGAGCGAGCGCGAAGAAGGCGGGGGCGGCCGCCCGAAGCGCTCGGACGAGCCAGACCGAGCAAGCACGAAGGCGAGCGGTCTTCTGTTTATACGTTACATGTATATACCTAACGATGTGCCCGCGCCCGCGGCAAAGAGAACACTGAAGGTGTCGCTCGGCGTTGCGCAGATTATATGCGGCGCGCGCATGCGTCTCGCGTGCCTCGTCCGCGCGCGACGCGCGCTTACTTCACGACAATTTATCCCATCGAAAGCATTCGTTGTCTGCACGTTATTTTCCCTATACGTATGTAAAATCTATGCTCTTGACTTTTAACTGATAATATGGTAAGATGGATGATATGGTAAGAATGGAGTAGATGGATCGAGCGCTCTTATTGAAGGCAAAAGGTCAGCATTAATAAGAAAACAATGGAAAGACAGTAATCGGATTTTTTATTGTCTTTTTTTTTACTAATGCTGACTTCTTGTCTCCGATAAAAGTGCGCAGTTTATTTAATTCTATGATAATCAGAAAAGTCGGGGTTATATGAAGAAGGGGTAAAACTGCATAAAAGGTAACACTCCGATTTTATCGCCACTTAAATATGTTGTAGGGAAGGCTCTTTTGAGTAATACCCCGCAAGAAATTTGTGGGGGACAGCATTACTTTAGGAGATATAACAAATTAAAGTTTCATAGTTTTAATGCTTTTTTCTATTATAAAATAAGGAAAAATGAAGTTTATTTACGTTGTATTTGTGTAGAGCAGATGTGGAAAAAGTGTTCGTTTACATTTACGGGATAGGTATACACTCACGGATAATTTGTCAATAATGTGTTTCAACTATTTCTCGCAGTTTGTTAAAAGTTTTCAACATGCGACTATATGAATTTCTAAGTCTTGTTGAAGATAAGAATAAATTAATGGTAAATTTTAATTTTAAATCAGAAATAGGTTTGGGTTACGTTATGTTTTCCGGAAGTGGAGCCTCCCTATAGGGACGGCGGAACCCATTGCGTCCACGCAGACACTTTCCCATCCATACAACAATTGTGGAGTGGACCTCGCTTCGCGTTGTAAAGAATATGCGTAGACACAGTGGGTTCCGCCCCCACCCCCCTAGGGGGAGGAGGACTTCACTTCCGCAAAATATAACCTAATCCAAACTTATTTTCAGTTTTAAAAGTAAAGTTGGGTTGGGAAAAAAAATTTTTTTTCGGGGTAGGCTTGCAGAGGAAGGAGATCCGCCCCTCCCCCGCCCACGCATTCAATAAATAATATTTTTGAAGACATGACTCAGAAATTCATGTAATCGCATATTGAAAGCTGTTAACGAACTGCGAAATATAGGTGAAACATTATTGATAAAATATCCATGATCGTGTACCTATCTCATAAATGTAAACAAACACTTTTTCTGCTCTCTCCAACAAATACAACATACACAAACTTCACTTTTCCTAATATTACTTTATAATATCTGAGAAAAAGCATTAAAACTGTGAAACTTCAATTTGTTATATCTCCTAAACCAATGCCATACCCCAGTTATTTCTTGCAGGGAATTACTCAGAAAAATCTCCCCTACAACATATTTAAGTAGCGATTAATTCGGAGGTGTGTTACCTTTTATACAGTTTTACCTTATTATCTATTATATTTAAGAACATAATCAATAGGCAAAATAATTATTAAGTTGCAATTCGGTGAGAAAACTGGCAAATAAAAGCCGAGACGCAAAATAATTAGTGCGCAAACTTTTTTGTTATTTAATTTTATTAACAAGTATGTATTAAATATGTACGTTTTGGACCGTTTTTTCTCTTTATATTACAAGATCTGCGATTTTTTTTGAAAGATTATTGCTTTGTGACATTAGTTATATGAAAGATATATAAAAGAAGATTCGGGAATACATTGAAGTTAGATCTGAGGCGCCTCCATAATATTTCGAGAATTATAAGCGACTTCTAATCAAATGTCAAAATGCCTCAAGAGGTGTCGCCACCAATGCAGTTCGTTGTCGCGGAATGCGATTGAAATAATTAGAAAATATCGCGAAATATGGTGTCAAATCATTAAAATTGTGTTCCCGCGAAAACGAAACGCTTAAATAAATTCGTCATATTGATCTTTTGTCCGCTGAGTACGCGATCTTCGTTAAAAGGCATCTGAGAATTATATAATTTCAGTATCACTATTTTGCCGTGCATCTTTGTGTATATGATTGAAAAAATCAGAAAAAAATGTTGATAGTTTAGTAAACGATAAGTGTAATATTTACATTTCGTGAATAATAAGTGATAGTAGTGTAATATTGAAAAATTTTGCGAATGACAAAAGTGATAAGTGCATCGTTGAACCAGATTACTTGAATTTGGACTACTAGCCTTGGATTAATTGAACTAAATGGATTCTCGTGTCTGCATCCAGCAATCGGTGAGTCTTGTTTAAAAAGAATTTTTTATTATTTTGTGTAATCAATGCTTTGCCATTGTATCAATTTTCGCACAATTCAGTCAGTTACTTCAGTTGCATGTAATTTTTTATAATGTATTATTATACATCCTGATAAAATCATGATAACATCCTGATAATTATTACTGAAAAAATAGATTCTTAAATGCAATTGAAAAATATCAAATATTATAGAATAAATCGCGATATTAATTTATTGCAAAAGTTCAAAAGGAAAATCAATTTATGTGTTTAAATTTTCAAATAATTTTTTAAATAATTAAAGAAAGTGCCATGTGAAAATATATAGAACATATATACTATGTTTTTTGCATATATACTATGTATTATATTCGTTATTAGTACAAAAGAGTTCATTTCATTTGTGTATGAAATTGGCAATAGATACACACGAGAAAAAATTTTGATTGTGCAACTTTTTGATTGTGTATTTGACTTTTCATTCAAGCTTGGAATGTATATCTATAATTTTTGGTTACTTGTAATTACATATCACTAATAACTATTTAAGTATTTAGTCCTATGGTATTTTTTTTAAACAAGAAAACAATAAACATCATTCTAGTTCTGTTATCTTAAGAAATGTTTCATTTGTAGAGTTTATATTTTATGTGAAAAACATATCTCTAAAATATTTTATCAATTATTTATTAATGTAAAAATATTTAAATGTTTGTGTCCACATAGTCCAATCTTTAAGAATTTATATTTTTTTATATAAAAAATTTAATTTATTTAAAATTATTATATATATTACTATTAGAACAAATTATCATGAGAAATTTGCTTAAAATGTTTTTAAATCGTAAATTAACTATTAACATTCTTATAATATATAAGAAAAACATAAAATCTTAAGAAAACAATAATTATTACTCGAGCTAAGTCAAACGCAATAAATATCAATATTATTATATATACATATTATTATTAATAAGAGTTAAATTTACATGTGTCTGTACTGTTATACAATAATTTTTTAATTGGTTCAAAGAAATAACCATGAATTTTTCATACACAATAGAATATTATATTAAAATATAAATGCTGAATCTACAACAGTTACATGTATTCGATTTATATATATATAAATATTTTACGCGTATAACTTTCATCGACTGTACACAGTAATCATTCACAAAAAATGGTTATAATTGAATACTTCTAAAAGATCTTTTTGAACGACATATCTCGCATTTCCAAATAAATCACTCATTTATTCAATCATCATTTTTCTTTCGAGTTTTATAGAAATATGAAAATATACATAAATATTGCAAGACGAGATTACAATTCTTTGTGATTCAGTTGCTTCATGCGTATCATGTTACAATTTTCTTAATATTTATTAATAATGATATTCATTGATAATATTTCGTGAATAAAAATCCGATGAATTTAGAAGTGCGAAACGTGCGCGAGAAATTTCGAATACTATCTACGATTTCGTCTCAGGATACGCGGTTTAAGACTAATCCTCACTACTGCTCATCCTTATCCTTCGCGCCGTGCTTTAGGATTCGAGTAAACTCTAGATAGTCGAACATCGAGCCTTTGATCGGTGCTTCACGGTACATTTCGTCTACGTCATCGTCCGTGAATCTGAAGATAAAAGAGAATCCGTTTTGTATTAGCAAAAATCTCCTAATTAATTTTATTGGTTTAATAACAAATGTGTTATCATATTTTTATATCCTTTTCCTATATTATTAACATCATATTTAGCAGATTATTAAAAATATAATTAATAAATACTGAATATAAAAGGATTAAAGAACTATTAAGTATGTTCAACTGAAACATAGACTGAGATTTTTATGGGACAACGATCTTAGTACATGTTTCAGTTGAACATATCTAATATATAGACAATATATACCTGCCAGTTATATTACAATTTTTTATTGTTATATTATTAATAGATATAATTGTATAATTAATCAATTATTACGGGCTAATCATTGTTCTATCTTTCTTCTTTGAACGAAACCTTTATGCGAAAAACTAAATTTAATTCTTAAATATTTCTCTAATTTTGCCACACAATAATTCGATAATTTAAATATATAATTTTTGTGAATTTTGTCTCTAAAATATTCATACGATTTTTGATATATGAGATATTACCTGTCACCCATTGTCGTAAGCAATTCACGAAGGCGCTCCTCATTTATATGACCGGTATTTTCCTCATCAAAACAACCAAAGGCATTCTTAATAACATCTTCAGGATCAGTTCCTTGCAATCTCTCTCCAAACAATGTCAAGAACATTGTAAAGTTGATAGGTCCAGGTGCTTCGTTCATCATTGCCTCCAAATATTCATCAGTAGGATTCTTACCTATAAAAGTTAATTAAATTTTCTTTAAATTCTATCCATATCTCTTATTTCAATTTAAAAAAAGAAATGTAGTAATTTTGTGTAAATAAGCAAAAATGTCTCTGAATTTTCTATATTTGCTTACCCAGAGAGGCAAGCATGTCGTGCAAATCCTCCTTGTCAATGAATCCGTCGTGATTCTGATCGATCATGTTAAAAGCTTCTTTGAATTCAGCGATCTGCGCCTGATCAAACATTGCAAAGACATTCGATGTCGCACGTTGAGCGCGTTTTTTCGTGGTGGCACGGCGTCCAGCAGTTTTACGGGAAGACATTTTGTATCTACTGAAACAAAAATTAAATTTTAGTCATGTTTCTGAATAATTTCATATTAAATCTGACAAATTAAAAAAATCTCTCAATTAATGGCATTTATGAAAATTTCTTATTTCTGCAAATTTTAATTATATATATTTATGAATAAAATATTATAAATATTGATCCTATGGGAATAGAAATATATAAAAATTAAATAATCTAAGATATTTCTGGTAAAATGATGGATTTTTTAATAAATATTAAATTTTATTTCTTTTTTTTAGAAATAATTTGAAACAATCGACGGCTTATTGCTAGATCTGGGACATATTGTATATTTTGAGATTTAACTCATAAATGTCTATCATGTCATAATATATCATATATATATTGGAAGAAATAATACTTTATTCGATTTCATTTCATTTATTTCGTAGAAACTGATTGTTTGCTTGAAAAATAAACTCACTTTTCACCCCATAAATTCGAAATTTTAGTGAAACAGATGCATTCTTTTTAAAATAAACATCACGACGAGACAATTCGAGAGCTCCCAAGTCGCCATCGCCATTGGCGTTTATTTTGGGTAATCAATTCATGATACTCCGACGTGACCGAAATTGGGATAAAAATAATACTTGGACGAAAAGAGAAGCGAGACTAAGGGGTCATTACTCTCTTTGTATACTCGAATGCCTTCTGTTTTATATACAACTTGTTCCACCGCTTTAATATAGCTTTTACTGGTCACAAATTTCTTGTTATATTTCGATAAATATGTCTATCTTAAAATATATATCGGCTTTAAAAAATTTAAAAGTATTGAATAAAAAAGGAAATCGAAATATCCGAATTATATTATATATAAAAAATTTACTTTTTTAAATAATCTGATTTTTTAATAATGTGCTTTATATTATATAATTAATAATGTTCTTTAATAATGTTCTTTATTACTTTCTTCGTACACTCTAAAAAGATTTCGTACATTTCCGTTTTCCACATTTAATATTTATAAAAAATATATATTTAATTTGAAAAAAATAAATGGAATTTTCCTTAAAAGTATATGTCACGAATTTTGTAGTAATTTTCATGTATTCGTGTGTGTGTATGCGCGCTTACTCATCTCTCTCAAATCGTTCTACTTTCCCCTCGAGTTTCTTTCGCACTCAGTGCTGTCAAAATCAGTCTAATGGAAATTTTAGTATATTATAAATCGAGTTGGAATAAATTTATTTTAATACTTGCAATAGATTTATTTTGTTCGCAATAAATTCAATAACGTGAAATTTGACTGCAACAACAAATGTTGTGCATGTCGAATTTTAAAATTCCAATTTAATTTTTACATATTTATATCCATGCTGAAGATGGACCAGAAAACAATCCGATTATTTATAATGCACATTTGTTAATAAAATTTAACAATAATAAGTTTACGCACCAATATCCGCGCCTTGGCTCGTATCTACCTGTAGTCCCACTTAATTGTTCGCAATAAATTCATTTCAATACTCGATTTTTAGTGTACCAAAATTCATAAAATTATTTCGATCCCGACTGCACCATGATACCCATTGCATATCCCACTATCTACGGCACTGCGCACGCTCACGATATTGCACATTTCTTCCAGATCGCATATGTAAATACATAACCTAACCAAGAAATATTTTATTTGTCTGCGTCCCTTTTCATTAGGAATAACAATCTTTGTTTTAATTAAACATGACTCAAATTGTGCAAACTGTAACTGAATGACAATGGCGGCCCATTCGAGAGTAAAATTTGCTGTCAAACTGTCGAGGTTTCACGTGCTCGTTCAGGGAAGAGGATACGATTTGATTCGATAGCTGGATTATTCGCCCGATTTAAAGGGGAAAGATCGAAGCGTACTCACTCGGTGAACAATGGTAAATAGAGGCTCGGAAAACGCCTGAAAACTGGAAACTGGAACGGATCGAAGCTTCACGATGAGCACTGAGTCACGTTCTGCGTTCCGCGTCACTCTGTGGTTATTCACCACACCCGATCAACTAGCACCATCTGCTGGAAGATAGGTGAATAGGCCTATATGTGTGAGCCGCGAGGGGCTCGCGAATGGAGAAAAATTCAGGCCATTGCCAATAGTCGATCAGGATTGTGCTCAGGGTATCGATTCTGGAATTCAAGTGAGGGTGAAAATTACAAAAATGAGCGAGTTTACTAAAAAATTTATAATTTCATTGATCCAAATCTAGTAAACTCGCTCATTTTGTAATTTTCACCCTCACTTGAATTACAGAATCGATATACCTTGGTCCTTTGTTAAAAGAATATTCACAAGATAGACTTTACATTCAGTTATAAATTGCTCCATTAATAAAATGGCTAAGACAACAATAATTTATATATTACAAGCAAGTAATAATAAAATCTATAATGAACTTTTTTTTTTTTTTTTTGAAGTTGCTATATTTTAATCAAAAAATTTTGAGCACCGGATTTTAATTGAACACTTTTGCAAGCAGACTTAATGTAGAGTATTAAAAAATTAACATGCTGAAAGATGGTAAAATAATAATGTAATTATGAGAAATAATTAATTTTTATAAATTGTTGGAAAATAATACATTTATGTAGCAATAGTTTACATATATAAATATAAAGTATATTTAGCTTGGAATATTTTAGAGGTATGATCTCTATAAATAATTACAGCCCTGAAGTTGGAATCGCTTCCATACATGGGTTAATGTATCTTGTACCGACTCACAGCCATATAAGGACATGAAAAGAGACTGATACATTTATCGTTTTGTAATTTTTCATAATGGCAATAATTTCAGTCTTGTTAATTCGATTCTCATAATTATTAAAAACTGAGAAAACTAATTTTAAATAAGAAATTGATGTTAGGAAAATTTATTTATATGAAATTTTTACGATAAAGAAAATGATTATTTTAATTGCAGAGAATAGAGTGTTTTTGCCGTTTCTCAGATCAACCTTGCCAATATTTAATATACATTATTATTTGCAGGAAATTAAAATGATTTATTGGTTTTATAATAAAATTATAGCTTGAGTCTGTTCTCTTTGTCTGCACTGCAAATTTCGCGACAAATTTTGGACAATCGCCAAAGCAATGAGTACTGAAGTTAATGCTATTAGCTGTATAATAATTATTATATTATTATTTGCCAGATTATTTAGACGCAGGTTATTTTATACTTACCTAAAAATTTTCAAGCTGATTATGCTTTACATTTATATATATAAACTTTTACTATAATATATACAGATTATGTTTTTCATCAGTCCATTAATTTAAATTACTTCTGATAATTACATTATTGCATTATGCCAATATAAGTTATCTTATATTTGTGAAAGAGAGAAAGAGAGATGTCTCAGAATAAACAAAACACGTTATCAGAACATTTTATATATAACTAATTATTAAAAATGTATTATTAAATAAAATTTTTAAATTAACGTAAATAAAAAAAATTTATTTGTTATCTCGATTTTTTGCTATACTGAAAAAGTAGAGCGAAATAATATGACGAAGAGTGTCAAGTACAACAAGAGCACTGGTTTCTTTATTTACGCACGATCATCATAAACTTACGCTACAACGTGTCACTTAAAGTCTATATATATAATAATGAATCTAAATGATCAATACACCGTATATACAGAATCGTACACACATAGTTGATCCTCGGAGAAGAAGTCTCCTCGAAAGAACGAGCGTCATCAACATACAATCCTTTTCAAACTTTTCACGCTCGTCCTTTTATACATTCTTTCGCGAAAATTATTTACATGAATTGTCGCACCCTTAATGGGTAATATATAAATAATGACAACAAGTTCTTCGGTGTTTTCTGTACATAAAATATCGTCTCGTGAACGGCGAGAATCGCGCGAGAGAAATCTCTCGAGATCGCCAGCAATGTACCGCACGCGATTTTTGATGAAAACGAAGAGGGCCAATGGAATTTCAAGCTATCGCACAGATACGCCATTGATAGTTATTCCGTTTCTGTTAGGAACCGGTTCGGCCTCGTAATGTCCGGATCTGCCGTACGTTCTTCTCGGCTGGCCGTTGTATCTGTTGAAAACATATCAATTTATCAGGTAGAATAATATCTATTTATCCCAAAATAAAAAAAAAAAAATGTTTTGCGTCTCTATTTTTGTCCAGTACATTACTACATTATTACACAGTTGGAAAATTTGGCTTCAATTTAACATAATATGGATATATTAAATTGTGAGAGATGTCTCAGAATGAACGAAACACGTGTGTGTTATCAAAATATCTTATTTATAATTATTAAAAATTTATTATTAAATAAAATTTGACACTAATACTATGTTAATATCTCAACACAAAATGAATGCAAATTTCATAATAATTTAAAATAAATTTAGTCTAGAATCAACATATTTTTAATGGTAAAATTAACTTGGAAAAATATTTTTGGCAGTCTTAACAGATAAATTCTGTCACTAATAATACGAAACATATCTATTGTGTAAAATTAAAAATATGTGTGCATTGTGTTATTTTTACACTTTTTTTTTTAGCTGTTTTAATAATATAATTTGAGTTCAATTAACACAATATATTAAATTAACACATAAATGTGTTAAATATTTAACACACAAATTTTAACCGGCATATTTTTTAACAAGATAACAAATTTTCCAATAGTGTAATCTATCCCTTTCCACATATTTTTAGAACGCATAATTGTAAATAATTAATTTTATTCGATTTGCTATTTGCACTATTTTATACTAGCAGTTAATTTAATATAGAATCGTTATTCATAAAATTCCACAATACTCTAATTGATATTATAAGATATTTACATCTTACATTATATATCAAGATCACATCGCTCTATTGCAAATTCTTTATACACTCGCAACTTACCTATACGCGTTACCACCTAAACTGTACGGATTATCGTAGAGACCATCTTCGGGGACATTTTCGTACATCGTGTTGGGCGTGCCGTCGTTCAACGTCGCGTAAGACATAACGGCGGCATTTTGATCTTCCTTCCTTTCCGCCGCCTGGACGTTCTCGGTATTTTTCACCGGCGTAGCTTTTCGCCTATGATTATATCGGAGACTTAATATATTTGAAAATTATTTGCGAGAGAAAATAGATTTACTTCAAAAAACAATACTTACAGCCTAAGATAGACTAGTCCGAGGATAATTAATATAAATATAATCACGCCAGCTCCGATGCCGACACTCGTGCCAACACCTTGAGGCTCTGCCACTTCGTTCGCAGCCACTACGATACGAATAATTTCTTATATTAAATGTTTCGAATATTTCTTTACAGATAAACTTTACAGACAAACTTACTTCCTCGAGGCATTAAGATTAACAGTTTGCGATTTATTTCGAGCCCGATTACCCGTTGATGAAATAATTTTTAATACCTCTTGAAGAAACTATATATTAGGTGTACAACTTTGCTTCCGCCGTTTTCCTATAGATGGCTTTAGCGGTAAGTAGTGGTCGAAATATAGTCAATAAAGTTTGAAGATATACATATATACAGGGTGTAACAAAAAGGTTGAGAACAAATGAAACGGCGTATTCATCAGTGAAAAATAAAGGGTTTTTCTTACATAAAGTTATGTTTCACGGCCTTTGTTTCCAAGATATAGGTCATTAAAGTCTTTCAAAAAAAGAAAAAAAAAAGTTTTTGTTTAATAATTTTTGAACAAAGAAAGATTTTATATATATTTTTTTTTCTTAATTATATATAAAATACTTTAAATATTTAAAAAAATAAAACATTTTAAATGTATTAGATATTCTCCAACAGAATATTTATATCTTACATTGGCATTTTGGTTCTTCGCCGCTCCAAAATCCTGTGTCCAAACATTTCCTCAAGAATATGCCGACTCTTTCATATTGCGGTAAACAATGATACTCCGCGGCTCCTCCGTAAGTCGTTGATCCATTCACTATTATCACTCGACCGTTTTCTATCGGTCCTGGATGCTTGCAATCTACCGCTGGAAAGATATCGCGAATAAATCTTAAGCTCTTTTAATGATTCGTTCAATATAAGGATACTTATTACCGATCGAAAATAAAATAATATATAATAAATAATAAATAATAAAAATAATAAAGTAATAAATAATAAAAATTTTAATATCTTCGAAAATATTTTTTCGCATGGTTTTTTTTTTGTCTTTTTATATATTTAACAGAGAAGAAAATTGTTGAAAAATATTATTAAAATATGATTACATTTATTATATGAAAATATATGGCAATATCGTTGAAAATAGTAAATTTTCTTAAAAATAAATTAGAGAAATTTTTTTACGCTAAAAATAAAAAACATATATAATATTACTGATCTCGGGAAGTTTCTTACAGAAACAAGCAGGCGTTGTGCCGCTCCAGGATCCATTTTGTAAACAAATTCTAGTTTCGTTTCCTTCCATGTAAAATCCACGTGGGCAGCTATAATGCGCCACTCCACCTACACTGTGAGTCGATACTTGCGTCGATAATACACCGGTTTTCTCGGGATCTTTGCATCGAATTTCTGTAAATGTAGACTTTAGTTTATCTCGCTGCAATTTAATACCACTCGATTGCCATTTTAATTTTGCCCAACGTATAATTAATGCGCTTTAAAGTAAAACAATTGAATTAAAAATAATGAACCAAAATTAATTAAACGATAAGATTTCTATCTACTTTTTACGTTGGGACGTTGATGTGACAGTTCGGCTTTTAAAGAATTAAGTATTTCTGAGATTACCTCGACAGACAGGAGTATCGCTGCTCCAGGTACCGTTTTCAAGGCACAGTCTTCTGGCAAAGCCATCCAATTCGAAATTACCGTCGCATTCGTAAAGTGCAGCTGCTCCATAGTACGTTGCATTCGATGTCAGCGTGTAATGTCCATGTTGAATGTGTTCGGGTTTGCCACAGTCAACATCTGTCAGAAGAATGCTTATGTAATAAAATGTCACGTATCTGATATTATACTTATTTTTATAATTAATAATTTTATAATTATTTTATATAATATTAAATATTATTTTTAACAAAAAAGTCTTATCGCTTATTTAAAGAGAGGATGGAGATTTTTTTTTTGAATGATCAATGACCGTTATTTATCCTACATAATCTTACATGTGTATAATTGATTGATCCGATAGAATGCAATTTCCTGATGATTAGAGCGTCTAGATATGTATACTTACAGACGCATTGCGGTACTTCGCCGCTCCACTTTCCGTTCTCCTCGCAAGTGGACAGAGGTTCTCCGACCACCTTGTATCCTCTCTCGCATCTGTACTTTACCAAGGCCCCAATCTTATACGAAGTCGCCCCCGTGTTCGAATTCTCCGCAGTTCCTGTACGAATCAGTGTCCTTCCGTACATTCGATCGTTTCCGGTCACCGAAAGAATTCCGTGTTCTGCTAGTACAGGCTCCGTACAACGAATCTCTGAGATGAAAAATATAAATATGATATAACCCGGGCACACACATAAATATTGGGTTCTCGTAAAACTCGCGGCCAAGCTTTTACAATGTATCGAAAAAGTCGGCACATATGTATGATCGCGTCTTTTATGAACGCGTCTTATATATGTATAGAGGAGGAATATGAATATCTTCTCACAATTATTATATCGTGCACTTTTTAAAAATCCAATTTCACTTAACCTTACTTTACTGCAAGGTTAGGTAAGTTAATTTTTTTTTTTAACTAAGTTAAGTTTAAAGTTAATGGCCCAAAAATTAACTAATTGTAAGTTTATGTTAAAAGTTACTTAAAAATTAACTTAATATTAAATTAAATGAAATTAATTGTAAATTAAATTAATTTAATTAAAATTAAAAATTAACTCAGTTAAAGTCAAGTTAAAAAATTATTAACTTATTAAAGTTAAAAGTTAATTTTCTATCCAACAGCAAATCGACACAACTTGTTGTACGACAAATGAAATATTCGCATTACGGTCAACCATTTTCACACGACTTTGATATTAATGAATTATTTTAACTTGATAAAAATACGTTAATAAGTTAACGATAATGCGTTTAAAAATAACTAGTTTAAATTAAAAATTAGCACGTTTAAAATTAATTAAATTAAGTTAAAAGTTATTAACTTTTTAACTTTATAACTTATGTAACTTTTAATTGTTTAACTAGTTACTACCCAAACCTGCTTTACTGATATTTTCTGATGCATTTATACCTTCGCATTTTGGAGTAGCGTCACTCCACTGACCGTTATCCAGGCAATATCTTCTCGAAACTCCATTCAATCTATAATTCCTCGTGCAGCTGTATGTAATTTCACTGCCGAGATGAGTCGTTCCGTTCGCGTAATCCACAGCGCCATTCAAAACTGGAAGAACCTTGGCGCAATCGATATCTGCAATAATTATTCTAATCAACGTGTAATCTTAGGAGCAATCAAAGCACGATTAAAGATACATGGTTGAGAGTTGTCGAGAAAATATATATTATATTTAAGGCTGGTGATTTGCTTCGAAGATTCGAAGATTCACATTAAAATCTTCGAAGATTGAAGTTTCGAAGCTTCGAACTTTCGAAACTTCGATACTTCTTCGAAGCTTCAAAAAATCAAAATTATGTAATTATTAATTTAATATAATAGTAATAGTATCGCGATTACTATCGAGGTACATATACATTTATAAAATTATATGATAAAATCCAAATAAAATGTCTAATGTTGCAATAATTAGCGTTAAATAATTACATATTTTTTGAGCATATATATTAATCAATTCCTTTTATTTACAATATTTTTAGCATTTGGTGAATGAATTCACCATTCGCACAAATATATATTCTTTGAATCTTCCAAGTTAACTTCAAACTTCAAAGCTTCAAATCTTCGAAGTTGTCAAAAGTAATAGTCCTAATTATATTCCGATAAGAAGTTACAATTCTGTATAGAATTTTTTTTTAATGTGAAGAATATTGGATAAATAAAAATTTAAAAAGATCGGATTGTTTTTGAGATATGGTTTTTCTAAACATTTTCTTGAGTGTTAATAAGCTGCTTTGAAGAGATCTCATTTAGGACGAAGGCCTTTAATGGCAAAAACGACCTTGATTCTAAATTACATTCCTTTCATAATATAACGCGGTTATGTCACTCGAGTGGTTTCGATGAGAAAGAAGTACAAGAGAGAGATTGACTCACACTCGCAACTCGGCACCTCTCCCGTCCATTCTCCATCTTTGCCGCACGAATGCCTGGCCTCGCCGTGAAGCAAATAACCAACATCGCAATGATATTCGATAACACTGTGAACGTTGAGATCATAACCCACCACGTAACCTCCTGCAGGCACCTCCGGCTCCTCACACGTGATTACTATATTAAAAAATATATTTATGATTGTATATATATATATATAGCATGAATCAAACATCATATAAAATATTTTCAATAAAAAGAGGCAAAAAATATTTTTTTGTTTTTTTTAAATTATTCTTTGCATAAAAAAAAGTTTTTTCTTTTCTATTAAAATCAATTATTGCATAAAGCTTTAAAAACTTTTAATTAATAATAGTTTGCGCGAGCTTTTTGAGAGAAATTAATTTTTATAAAATAATTCTTACACTCGCACGATGGCGTGTCGTGGCTCCACTTGCCCTCTTTGGTGCATTCTTGCTTTCCTTCACCCACCAACCAGTAATCCTCTTGACATGTATAGACGGCTAGACTGCTCACCGTTGTCGTGCCGTTAGTTAGAACGACCGTTCCGAACTCGATCTGGGCCGGAGCCCCGCAATCAACGAATCGGCATTGCGGCGTCTTGCCGGACCATTCGCCCCCGATATTGCACGTAAGAACCTTAATTATCAATCGAAAAATATAGAGATTAAAAACCCGAATTTTTTAAAAGTGAAGGAAGAAACTAAGTAAAAAAGCGATATTTTTGGATAAAAAATTGTTTTTTTTGGTAATTTTAAAAGATAGTGCGAGTTTTCTTCGAACAAAAGATGGGTCAGTAATCAATTTCAATGGATATGGCTGATTTTAAAACAGGTTAATTTTGATTTTTATAATTCAATGGTATTTTTTGATGTTCTTTCACTCAAAAAAGTGGTATTGCAACTACAGCAAAAATTTTCTGGGTGCGCAAAATTAACCGAGGTACATAAATGATTAGCAAATACTGTGATATCGCATATGTTTCGCATTTAATCAATCTAAGTGACAGAGACAGAATTTATATCTGAACTGTTTGTGAAATTTAGAAAGAATGTTTTTCTGTGGCGCCTATCCATGTTAAGGCCAATCATACTTGTTATAAAGTTTGACTGTGGTACACAGAAAAAATTAGCGGCAAGAAACAAATAAATATATAATCCTCACATCTAACATATTTGTATAACGCGCCCAATCTATCCAGCTCTTTTAAACAATTTCTCTCAATTTTTCGATGCAGTTTTAATTGGCAGTTATATTTCTCACAAAGAGTGTTCTAGCTGTAGTATCGAAACTCATATTTATCCAATGCAGTGATTAACATTTGGCAATGGGACCTAAATTTTCTAGAAGATATTATTAGAATATTGCTGCTATAAATTCTATATGTAACAGACAATATTCTAACAGATACAAAAAATAGCGATAAATTTTTGTTGTGACACCTAGAAATCTACCTATATCAGCAAGACATTTTTTTGAGTGTGCAATTAAATGTGCTTTTATTTAAAAAAATAAATAAAAATCTTTAATCAATATGTAATTAAAAACTGCAATTAAGAGTATTTGCGAAAGTTATAAAATATAAAACATTTTTCATAGAATATAACAAATAAATTTAGAACTTTTATATAATTACACATTTTTTCTTAATAACAAGTTCATTAATTAAGTAAATGAATAATATGGTACATAAATGTGTAATATTTACATTCTTTTATGAAATATGTATTCTGAGGAACGTGGAGAAAGCGGCTATGCATTATATTATAGTAAGACAGTAAATGCACTATTTTAACGTTGCATCTAATCGACAGACAAATGGATTGGCACGAAGCGAAAATTATAATCTCGATAAGTAGAATATGCTTATAGAAACTTATAGCTAGTCATAGCTAGTCATAGCAAAGTGTAACAGCGTGCAATTTTGACTATGAGACTATAAGTTGTTCCCCGCATTGATTCATTAACTTTAATGATCCGTACGATTTGTTTTCTCTTAGGGTTGTTTCACTTCCACGATCTGGCATTTGGAGCACGAAAGTACTTGAATAATGGAAACGTACCGAGAACACGCTACACGAAGCATTGTCAACGCACCACCTGTCGCTACAAGTGCGATTGATCTACGCCCAGCTGATATAGACACGAATATGCTGAC